ACCGCTCCGTACTTCCCTTCATCAGCGCTAATTACCCTCTCCTCTCTCCCTTCCCTCCGACCTTCCGGGCATCGCGATGAACGGGGAGCACCCGTGGGTGCGGGGGGGTCCCCGGCCGTGCGGGTACCGGGGGGTGGAGGGGGGGGGACCGAGGCGGGCGGCGCCGCGATGGCGGCGAAATGGCGGCGGTCTCACCCCGAGGGCGCGGTGAGGGGCTGCCCCCCGCTGCCCCCCCATCCCCGGGTCCGGATTCACGCGCGGGGTGGGGGCGACGGTGCGAAGCGGGGGGGGCTGTGCGGCCGAGCCCCGCGTGGGCTCTGCTCCGTGCGGGGCGGGGGGAGAAGCGCCGTGCGGGGCGCAGCGGCGGTTTCGCGGGGCGGCCCCGCGGGAGCGGTGCGGCGCTGCCCCGGAGCTGTGCGGGGCTCCGCGCCCCGAAGGGGTCCCGGGGCCGAGCGCTGCCCTCCGCCGCTCAGCGCCGCGCTCCCACCGCCCCGCAGATGTCCACCTACAAGCGGGCCACGCTGGACGACGAAGACCCCCTGGACTCCATCAGCGAAGGAGATGGGTACCCCAACGGGTTCCAGGTAGGGGCCGGTTTGGGAGAAAAGGGGAAGATTGGGGTCCTGGCCGCGAGAGGCCGCGTTCCTCGGGCTGGGTGAGACCCCCCCCTGCAGGACGAAGTCCGGTGCCGCCGCGCTGCGCTCTCCGCCCTTTGCTCCCGTCCCTGCTGGCACCAGTGGGGCTGCACCTCTGGGCTTGTGGGGCATCGCATGGGACATCCATCCCCTGGGGGATCCATCCTGTGGGGCATCCATCCATCACGGGGTAACTGTCCCTTGGGACATCATCTGTCATGTGGGGCGTCCATCTCGTGGAACATCCATCCCATGGGGTGACCATCCCGTGGGACATCCATCCCGTAGGATATTCATCCCATGGGACGTCCATCTTGTGGGGTGTCCATCCCTTGGGGTGCCCATCCCGTGGGAGGTCCATCCCGTGGGGTCAGGTCCACCTCAGCCATTCCCACAGCACTGCGGACCCCTCCTGGCCCAGCAGGGTGGGCAATTACTGCGGGATGGAACTTCGTCCCTGCATAAAGGGGATTTTAGGCTAATTCCTCCCCGAGCAGCAGGAAAGCAGCTTAATGAGGGCAGTTGGCGGCAGGAAAAGGGCTCTCACAGAGAAAGGTTCGGGGTTGGAGCCGTGCTCCTGGCACAGCCTTTTCCACCTCTGCCCACAGCTATGTTTCCCACCCTAAAATCAGTGCTTTTGTCCCCGTGATTCCCCACACTGTCACATCGGCCACGCTTCCTGGGGATATTGTTGGGCACAACAGGAGGATCCCATTCCGGCTCTCCCGTCCCCACCCTGCCCAGCGCCGGGACCACGGGGCTGGTGGTGGCTGTGGGGTGGCACGGGGCGGCAGGTGATCCCATGGCTGTGGCCGCGCTCGCCCCGCTCCCTTTCCTGCCATTGTGCCGCCCTTCCTGGCGGCTTTCTGGAAGGCAGCTGCAGCTTTTCCCAGGCTGGAACGCGCCCACTCCCTGTCTGGGGGCTGCTCGGTGCTGCGGGGTTTGTTAAGGGGGAGGATGGCGGATGCGCCTGTGGGGTTTTCCCCACGTGGTGCCGACGGGGAAACGGCGCTGCTTTTCCCACAGGTGAATTTCTCCAGGAGCAGCACGGGGTGCTGGGCCCAGCGCACGCGTCCCGAGAAGCAGCTGATGGCTGTGGTGGCCGTCCTGGCAGCCGTGCTGGGAGCGTGCCTGCTGGGGCTCATCCTGCAATATCGAGCCCGTGAGTCCTGTGCTGCGACCTGAATCCTTGGGAGGGGTGCTGGGGGGCAGAAGGGGGGTTCTGGGGGGCAAGATGGGGTGCTGGGGGGCAGGTTGGAGTGCTCGCCTTGGGGTGAGATTCCTGCGTAACAGGTAGGGAACTTGCAGCTCAATTGGATGCTCAGGCACAATATGGGCTGCTCATCTGCATCCCTTACCCCAGGGCAGGATTCTCTGATGGGACAGGATCTTTCACTCCAGAGAGTGATGGTGGAGCAGCAGATGGGATAATTGGGTACAAGATAAGGTGCTCAACTCCAGCACCCCAGGGCGAGGTGGTTGGCCACTGGGCGGGGTGTTCACCTGCATCCCTACCCCGGGGTGGGATGTTTGGCACTGGGCAGGATGCTTGGTTATGGGACGGGATGCTCTCTCTGTCCATCATCTGGGGTGGAATGCTCAGGTGCAGGATGGGGTTCCCGCCCACATGCCTTGTTATGGGGTGGGATGCTCGTGCATGGGGATGCTTGCCCACATCATGGATAGAATGCTGGGTGAGCAGTGGGTGCCCTCTGGTGCAGCTGGGGGCTCCTTGTGCTGAGCTAGTGGTGCCCCCCAGGGCCGCCCGCCGTGTGCCTGTCAGAGGCCTGCATCTCCGTCACCAGCTCCATCCTCAGCTCCCTGGACCGCACGGTGAACCCCTGCGAGGACTTCTTCAGCTACGCCTGTGGGGGTTGGGTCAAAGCCAACCCCCTCCCTGACGGCCACTCACGCTGGGGCACCTTCAACAACCTCTGGGAGCACAACCAGGCCGTCATGAAGCACCTGCTGGGTGAGCACGGGGCTCTCTTCGGCAGCTCTTTGCGGTGGGGCTGCTCCCATTGCAGCTGTTCTGGGGACGGGCCCCGGGCGCTGCCTCTGCATGCAAACACTGCAGCGCAGCGGCTTATCCGGGGGATGGTTTGTTCAAGCTCTGAGCAAACAAGTGCCCCTTATCAGCACTTTCCTCCGCGCTGGGCGCTGGGGTGGTTATCTGTGAGCAGAGCTGCCTTTTGGGGACGGCTCTGTCCCAGTTCTTCCTGCAGCAATCTGAAGGCAGTGGGCCCCCAGCCAGCAGCTGTGCTCGGCATTTCCTCGCATTCCTTGGAGCCAAGGGACCAGGCACAAAAACCCACACATCTGGGGAGCCAGAGGTGCAGGCTGTGTTGTGAGGAGAGGAAAAACCCCAAGGAAGCAGGGTTTTAGGGAAAGAAAATAAAAGATAGTTTTGGAGGCGGAGGAGAAAAATGGGTTTATTGTTCCTTCTTGTAGAAATAAATAATGCAGCCCGGGGAGCAAGCCGGGACTGCCAGCACGGGGGCAAGGGCAGCGCGGGGGGCTGGGATGCTGGGAACGGCGGAGTGCTGGAAAAATACTTGTTGTTTTTCTTTCTTTATCTCTCTCTTACAAAGAACTGGAGCTGCTGGAGAGGGGGCAGGGGCAGGGCTGGGGCCGTGGGATGTCCCAGGGGCACACGGAGTGATCCATAGTGTCCTTTTGGAGCCGTTGTCCAAACTGAGGCTGAGCATTTGGCAGAGGGTTAGGGGCCCTGCGGCCCCCCCCAATGCCACGTGCCCCCACAAGCCGCCCTGGGTGCATCCTGCAGAGAACACCACGGCCAACGTGTCGAGCGAGGCGGAGCGCAAGGCGCAGCGCTACTACCAGGCCTGCATGAACGAGAGCAAGATCGAGGAGTTGCGTGCCGCCCCACTGATGGAGCTCATCGCCAAGGTGCGTCCTTCCCTGCGGCGCGGGCACGGGGAGCTGCCCTGCCGTCCTGGTCACACGTCCCCACACTGCTGTGCCTGACCGAGTGTCTCTCCCCAGCTGGGAGGATGGAACATCACCGGGCCCTGGGCCGGGGGGGACAACTTCAACGCGACGCTGCGGGAGGTGACGGCGCATTACCGCATCTCACCCTTCTTCTCCGTCTACGTCAGCGCCGACTCCAAGAACTCAAACAGCAACGTCATCCAGGTGGACCAGTCGGGGCTGGGGCTGCCGTCACGGGACTACTACCTGAACAAGACGGAGAATGAGAAGGTCAGGGTGGTGGTGGGGTTGGAAGAATAGGAATGATTGGGAGAGTTAGGTTGGTTGGAAGGGCTGGGAGATCTGGAAGGGTTGGGAGAGTTGGGAGGGTTGGGAGGATTGGAAGGGCTGTAAGGGTTGGGAGGGTTGGGGTTGTTGGGTGCCCTGGCCACACTGAGCTTTGGGTGACGCTCGTCTCCTCACAGGTGCTCACCGGGTACCTGAACTACATGGTGCAGCTGGGCATGTTTCTGGGTGGCACTGACGAAGATTCAACACGGCAGCAAATGCAGCAGATCTTGGAGTTTGAGACAGCACTGGCCAACATCACCATCCCGCAGGAGAAGCACCGGGATGAGGAGGTCATCTATCACAAGATGACGGCTGGAGAGCTGAAGGTAGGAGCATGGTGGGGCTGACGTGTTGCTGCGGCCCTGCTTGGAGCAGGGCTGGTGGAGGGGTGACGCAGCTCCTCCAGGGAAGGCCTACACCAGCCCAAACTGGGA